AAACAGTGAGAAAAGGAATTGCTACATCTTGTATTTTGTTCTTTTGCTATACTAGGATCTGAGAATCGACCGCACTATTTCCACATTACGAGTCTGCGGCTTTATTTTCTGTTACTACTAGAATAAAAGGGGGATTTTTGTTCATTGTCACTTCCCTATTCCAAATGTAAAATACTTCCTACAATCGATTAACCACAGGCAATTTTTTTCCTTGTGGAATCTGAAAGCAGAAGGCCTAATTTCTTTGCAGCAAGCATTTTTTTGCAGAGATTTGTGCACATATGCTGATGGCACATTAAGAGACTTGTTTTTTTTTGTGTTAGGTTTGGTTTACTCTCCTGTCTTTTTAACTTTGACCTAAATCATGTTGAAATCATTGGTGTAATTCCATTTTCTGATTTTAACACCATATGATCATGTTTACAAACATTTCTAAGTTTTTCCAAAGAACAATAACTCCTCTTATTTTTTTGTGTGAAATTGTGTTAGCGCTTTTTAAAAAGTGTGTGTATTGTTTAACAGTAATCTTTTATAGGTCTTGAATCAAACATTTTGTCAACCGCAGTGAGCTTTTAGAGGTCTGGTTTCAACAACCTCTGCATAATGAAACTGATGTGCCCCTCTGCGCACAGGACTGAAGTATGGATTATGCAAGTATCTGGCAGATTCCCCTTGAGAAACCTGAGATGACTGTGACTCTGACTCCCAGCATCACAAAGATTATATTTACTGAGAAAGGCAGAATAAAGTCATTCTTTATTGCTTAAACACAGTTAACTTGAACTTCAGCTGCAGCTGTTACAGATATGACAAGGATGACTTCAAGATATACTTTACGATAAGAGGATAGGGAAGAAATAGACTTTTTTTTTACCATAAACCCCAGTGGAGGATCTAAAAAACTTTTCTTCCAATTTCAGCTCAACGTTCCTGAAAATAATTTTGGGTCCTTTTGCTAATAATCCGCAAACTATCACTGCTAAGAACTGCTGAACAGTTCGTCTTTCCATTACCAAAAAGAAGCTTTGTAGCTCATTTATTCCTTCGTTAGCTTGCTTTTTTTTTTTGCATATTTCAACATTAAATTTGAGCAGTATCAGACATTTAGCCAAATATGTAAAGCCTTTTAAAAATGTATTTACATTTTTTGTTGTTGTTGAACTTAATGTTCAGTTTTTAAATGCAAACATATTAATGTTGTCCAGTTTTGGCAAAATTTCTTAAGCTCCTTTCCCAAACATGTTCGCTAAATGAAGGCGTTTACAAGATATCTAGTTTATGACACTATGAAATTTCAATTTAAGGAACCTGCAGAGTTTCGGTAAAACAACTTCTGCTAAACAACTCAGTCAAACAACAGAAGGATGTGAGTAGGTTGTAAATTTAAATGCACTCAACAGCTCATTGTGAGCAGTGTCGTGTTAAAACATTATCAGCTTGTAACAAACTGTGAAAGGAGGAGAGACAATGTCACTATTTACATGCACCAAGTAATAGTTTGGCTTTAAATGTGCTGAGTAAGATGTTTGTTTGTTGGTTTCTTTAAACAAAAAAGCATTGTGTAACGCAGTTTTAATGCATAATGCTTTGGGTGATAAGCTCCTTTCTGCTGACACTGAGCTCTCATTCAAATTCAATTTGCAACTAATCTGAAAACACTTTCATATCAAACTTCATAAGATGGGAAAACACAGCTAACCTTTAGCTCTTCAGTGGGAGAGTGGCTAGACATAATTAATTATTATTATTAATAATGAATTTTTAATAACAAACAATAATAATAATAATTATCATCATCGTCATCATATCTGGTGATCCTAGAGGTAATGAAAATAGATGAAACAATAGCTTCACATCCTAAATACAAAGTCTTGGCAAAACAAATCTTGAATTAAACATACCTGAAAAGCTATTACTATGTAAACATTAAATTTCATAATTGATGATAGAAAAAAAAGCTATGCAGTGTTATTGGTGTTTTAATGCAAAATGTATTTTTTCATGTTTGACAAACATAATTGAGCGTCTATGCTGGACTTGGATTATGTCTTAAAAGACGTTGTGTGTGGGTACCAGTAAATGCGGAGCATGTCAAAATGAAAGAAAACATTAGACTCATATCAGTCTTAGCCAATCTAAAAGCACCCACTTAACTTGGTTTGGCCACCTCCGCCCTTCATCGCCGTCTCCTCCTCCCCCTTACTGTTCTGTCTTGTCTATTCCTGCCTATGTGATTACATTACTGGCATAACTGAGTAATTTTTCTGCACATCTGTGATTTGTTAATTCCAGTGAAGGAGCAGTAATCCAACCATTCTTCTGTGTCTGTTCAGAAGTCCAGAGGTTTGTACTCCTAGTCTTAGTCAAGAGTTTGTGAAACAACGTCTGAGCCATATGCTTTTTACCTGTTTGCTCTGTTGTGACTCATAGAGAAGATTAAAAGTCATGAAGCTCCTTCTAAGAATTTTACTTTGTGCTTTGTGAAACGAATAACACAAAAGTATACACACAAAAAGCTACGCAAGCAAAACAAGTTTTGCGTGTCTTTTGCACACGCAAAACTTCTTCAGTCTGTACAGTCTGCTATGGGAGACGCCATATTGTTTTCAACACTTGTTTTGCAAGACACCTATGTTACAGAGAAATGCAAAGTAATGGTGACTGTGAAAAAATGTCCGGAAAACAACCGAGCGGTTTCTATCTGATGGCATGGCATGTTAGAAAATCCTTTAAGCACATAGATTTGTACGTTGCAGTGCCAACCCTAGACTCTGTGTTGTTTTCTATCAATGTGCTTTTGACTTTCAGTTTTAGATGTCAACAGGCCAAAGGTTAAGCAAACCGCCCTTCCAAGCATCTGAAGTATTTTGTTTATGACATGGGGGAAGGAGGGGGTGGGGATTTGAATTATGGACATGTGTAACACATTACCAGGTCATTAACTGGAAAATAAACCTTTTAAAATGGATTCTGATATGTGAGATGTAGTTGGAAAAACTACATCAGATGACAGATGGTGGGAAATGGTGGGATGGTGGGAAAGTTCATGCAGCTTTTATTCATTTCAGTGCCACACTGTGCGTTTTATTTTTATCATTATTAATTTCTCTCCAACTTCTTTACAGAAAATAATGTTACATCCACAAAGTTTAATGTATTTCACTAGAATTTTATGTGTTAGATGAACATAAAGTGTAGCACAATTGTGAAGCGAAGGTTGATTATGCTCAGTTTTCAACATTTCTTTGCAACTACAAACACTAAAGGTGCTGCATGCATTGGTATTCAGCACTCCCATACTAATGCTATGGAATTACAGCTGCGTGTATCCTTTAGGATACATGTCTAGAAGAAATGCGCAGTTGTTGGTTGTTGTCTTCCTCCTCAGCTCTGTCATGCACCTGATGGACCTGGGCTGGATGAGTGTGGTTTCTTAGCAGGCTGCTGCCACAATACCAGGGAGTCACTTCCTCATCAACTTAGGAAGGCTACAGGATGCTTGTTGTTTGCTAGACAATTAATGCTGGTGGTAATTCTAGTTTCTGGCTTTCTGTATTCATTTCTCTACCACAAGTTGGCTCTCACACGCCACTCAAAACTTCTCCAAAACTTTATCTTTGAACTGTTTGGTGTCGTTTGTTCCACAGTGCTTTATTGGCACCCCATAAATCAGTCATATTTATGGAAAATTATATTTACATTGCACCCCAGCAGACATTATTTACTGATAAGTTGGCTTGTGAAGGCAATTGGTTGTGCTGTTTTACTTAGGAGTATCAGAGTAAAGAATATAAATGGATGCCACAATTTTTAGATGTTTATTTGTTAAAGAGAATATCTGTATCCTTTTCCTTCTGTATCTGTGTTTTTGTTGGAATAAGTTTGTAGTCATAGCATGACATGAACAGAAGGTCAAGAGATTTGAATATGTTTGCAGATGCCACTTTTCTTGGGAAGGGAGTTAATATTTATGACTAATAAGTAATTACTTGAAATGATTTGCTAAATGTTTACCACAAAGAGTTTCACATCATTACAGAAGACTGCAGATCCATTAAATTATCGCCATTTATTTATGATTCATAAATCTGCAAAGGATCTTCTGTAGAAAAAGAAGCAATGAATGACACAAAGGGACAACCACAATGGAAAATTTACGGTTTATTTTCATTTCCCTCCCCCCATTACGTCGACTTCTGTGAAAATTTGATCTTTTCCTCCTTCCTCCATTTTATTGAAATACTTTCACACAATACGAAACAAACATTTGTTTTCTCAGGTTACCAGGGAATCAGCATGGAAAGAACATTAGGGGACAGCCCCAACTATAATTAATATTTTTATGAGCAAATCTGAGCCACAAGCTTCCAACCGTATCAGAACCGAATTAAAACTCACTAGATTAAAATCGCTCTTTGACAAGGAATTCACCCAAGAATATATTCCTGTAAATCAATAAGGGGACTCAGCTGTCAGGCGACACGCAGCTCAGTAATATGGTTGTTAAAACGTAAACGCTGGCTTTTGCGCCGCTGGCGATGGGAGCCGTTACAAATACCCTGTGCTCAGTGTTTCTGCTCCTACAGGGAGCTTCACCAAACGGTTCATGTGTTTCGGGATTACTGTCGGACAGTCAGACAAGGTATTCTTGTAATATTTCGATAAACCCCCTTTGACTGTTAGATTAATCTACTCTTATCTTTGTGTAAAAGAAACTGAGGTCAACGGCATGCAAGTAATCGTAATAAATTATTTTCTGGCTTAAAAGTGATTTGCCACAGGTGCTTTGAAACCATTAATCATGCTTGACAATAGTTCAGTAACAGTGGTGTCACTGCAGAGGTGCTTATGAGAGACTGTTCTGGTTATGCTCTGAATATTAACATAAGTATTAAATACATTTAGCTTCTCCAGACACATCCAAATTACTGTTTATCAACCGTTAATGAATCTGACATTTCTAACACTGGCTTTGCAATCATTTGGATTTTGTGTGTGTTTTTTTTTCTGTTTGTTTCTACCCATTTTCCTCGGAACCTGGAAATGCATACTATTTACAAAAACAAATATTTCTAAATTGAAAAGATGTCACTGTGAAGTCAAATCATCTAAAATAATAGCACAACCATATAAACCACAAAATAAAACGAGCCAGTTAATGCACATTTCATCACTAAATCAAGGTGAGTTATAAGGCAAGCGAGGCAGAAACAAAAAAGAAAAAAACACACACACATTTGCCATGTGTATAATAAAAGAAATATACTTCATTTGCACTTTTCCTCTTCTTGGCTTGTACTCCACATCTGGTGTGAAGGATTCATTGTTCAGCCGGCTCTCTGAAGTCTTTTAACCATTGGTCAGAGTCTCAGTCTTCAGCACGTTTCTCCAGCCTCAGGGCTGGTTCATGCCTCTGCTGAGCTTTCTGAAGCTTCAGTCAGCTTAATGTCGAGGCCACCAGCTTCGCCATTCAAGAAAAACACAGATATCCAAAAGGATGTCTTGCACGTCGTCATCATGCTTGACATCATACACCCTGGTATAAATCATTGCCTGTCTGTGGTATCTGTAGCGAGACACAAAACAGGACTGAACGGCTTGAAGTTAATGAAAAAAGCTGAAAAGCCATGAGAGGAAAATGGTTTAAACGAACACCGAGCCTGTGTTTTGGCATTTTCTCATATTTCTGAACATCAATTTAAATGTTGGGATTAATCGTGTGGCTTTGCATGACAGGAGCCGTTACTGAAGTCGCATCAAACACTCCGCTCCTGGAGGGCGCCCTCTCAACCATTTCCCCTCGACGACTGCGGCAAGGACAGAGGTAGCCTTTGAGATGCATGCGCACCTTGCTGTGCAGGGAGGCGTAGATGAAGGGGTTGTAACACGCCGAGCTCATAGCCACTAAATGGCAGCAAACTTGCAGGACGTTTATGTAGCGTTTCCCAATGATGAGGAACTCTGGGTCCAAGTCCAGCAAAAGGTTCAGCACCTAAACAAAAGGAGACATATGAAAGCAAAAGAAGTTTTTACTTTAGAGTGCATGAAGAGTAAAACATGATGTCATATTGCACACACAGATGGGTTAGAATTTTTTATTGTGAGGTTTTGTTAAAAGTTTTATAGAGCAATGTCATTATCTATAGTTATTTACACAGAAAATGGAGGAAGAAGGTGATGCTCCCTAGTGATCTTCCTGTCTGAAAGACGGGAGCATCTAAAGTATTTCCTGCGACTGTAAGTGAAACAAGTGAGGAGGTGGATAAATCACCAAACGTAGTGCCACTTCATAGCACCATCAAGTAACTGTTACCTTCAAGAAATGCTGTATTTATCAAGTATGACTTAATTTAACGCCTTGAAATTGGGTCTCTCTTTCTTTAACCCAGCTGCGGTCTTAAGAGATGGGGTCATTTGGACCCCTGCCCCACACTGGTGAAAGTTCAACGAGGTTTCATTTTATAACCCTTTCTTTTCTTTATGGTTTAGTGCAAGCAAATACTGAACTGTCCCCAGATGTTCTAACACCATGAGGTCTAATGAAGTTCTGCTGCTGTCGGGACTGTGATCCAGGACAACACTAGGAGGAGCGATGGGTGATTAATAATAATCGTGGAGATGCTAAATAATGAACTGATTACAAATGCTCAGGGCTATTGGGAGCTGTAAAAAAATCTAAGATCGTGGAGAGGCTCCGTCCATCCACAGAGGTTGAGGTTGACAACCTCTGTAGACCTAATGAAGTAGCCACTCGTTTCTAAATTACACACACAGAAAAAACTGGATAATTTTAGAAATTTCTACAGAACGAAAGTGCTTATTTTATGGTAAAATTAAGTAACCTCAATTATTTTTTTTTCTCAGGCTGTAGAACAGAGAACAGCATCGAACCCAAAAGCAAAAAGCTTATTTTTGTAGTTTAATTAGGCCAACTTGAAACATTTACATTAAGGAGAATGGGAAAGTCATTTGAAACCCAGTAAAATTAAAGAGACCAAAGAAAAGGCTCATTTTCCATTAGTTTTATTCTGTTTCATTTGCAGAGACTATTTGCATGAAAGCAAATTAAAAATGGCCCGAAGGACCATTTCATATTATCTTCACTCATTATAGGAAAAAGAAGGACACTTTTTCATGTTATTTTTGGTCAAAGTCATTAAAAGCCAATGAGGGGGGCCTAGAGAGTCAAATGTGTGCAAATTTACACTCCTGGACTGTATTAGCTTCAGCCTGTGGGACCAAATATTACAGATTTCTAATAATTAAAGATGTCCGAAAAGTTACCTGTTGCAGGTAAGCTATTAACCCATGGTAGCAGAAATAGATTTTTAAAAAGTCTTAAGTCGCTTTGAGTTTTTAATTGAAAAACCGCTTTAGCAGTTTAGAAGTTGCCAACACGTTCTGAAGTGCCACTGTGGTGATTTCATTTGGTTACGGTAGTACTAACCTGTTGAACAAAACCTACCAACATCAATCAAAGTGTTACTTCCTTTAACATGCAGAGGTTACGCTTATGAAGACGATTTCCTCTAAGTGACATGAAAAAAAAAAGCATGCAACAGCCCTGCAAGATTGCAAATGTATCTGTAGGCTGCATGGAGCACCGTTGCTGTTGTGAAATGAATCTTTCCCACCTGGTAAGTTTTGCAACATAAACAGAGTGACCTTCAAATGATGGTCTCATTAACCACTACGCTGTGTAACTTCATCCTTCTAATAATGAAATCCTAATCTTTTAGTCTTCATAGCTCATTGAGAAAATAGTGTCAGATTTGCAGACTCTGTTACTTCAACGTGGCTCTCGGTCATAAATGATGCAGAAAATCTAATCTCGCTGGCAATAAAAGTTTCATTTTTGGCTTCTTCCCTGCTGTTGAGTTCATCATTTGCTGGTTGATGCAAATAGAAGTGGGATGCAAATTCGGTCTTCTGACATTCAGCTGAATCAGGGGGTAGCAAATAAATAATAATAGAAATAATAATAAGCAGTAAAGACCAGTAAACATCAAGTGGCTAGGTATTTGTTTTCAGATGTGCTTGTTTGGTAATTACCTGCAGAGGCAGCCAGCACAGTGCAAATGCGAGCACTGAGGCCACCAACAGAGTAAAGGTCTTTTTTCTTCTTTGACTCCAGCGCTGTTGACTGCCAGATGGCTCCCCAGGAACCGAGTAGCGCTTAAGGCTAACAGTGATGGCGCAGTAGGAGATGCTGACGGACAGCAGCGGGATCATGTAGGAGGTCGTCAGGATGAAGCAGGAGTACAACAACCGCAGATTGCCGCTGTCGGGCCAGAATTCCTCACACACCACCAAGTCGATCCCGCTGGGGCGGAGGTCCAGGTAGCGTGTGTAAAAAGACGGAGGTGCAGCCAAGGCCAGAGACAAAAGCCAGACGCCCAGAGTCACTGCGCCGCAGCCCCAGGCAGAAATTCTTTTCCTTACCGGGTGAGCTGCGAAGAGGAAATGAAAAAACAAATGGAAATACACAGGAAGAAAAGCATTAGGGACTTATTGCTTTCAAATCTGCTTCAGAGAACAGACTTGGACAGACCCATTGGCTCTCCTGATCAAGAAGTGTTCAAAAAGCCCCAAAATGAATTGATATTGCGTTCCTCTATGCATATTGTCAAACTAAAAGGCTTAAGAAAGTCTAACTTTTGGTTTGAGTTAGAAAATTAACATTAAAGAGAAGCACATTATTCCTTTCAAATAAACACAACTGAAGCAATTTTTTTCTTTTTGCTCTAAATTGATTAATGTTTCTAGGAACTTCTAATTAGTTATCCATCACTTGTAAATATGACCTGACATAAAGGCCCATCTGTTTTGATAAATTGTTATGAGACAAACTCAATGAGATAAAAAACTGATTTTTTTAATGGAATCCTGGCCAAGAGGCAGCAACAAATACAACACAGGAAGCAATTAGCAATATGTCCACCATGCTAACTGACTGATTGAGATTAATGCGAAAAAAATAAATAAAATAAAATAAAATTGTTTCTTACCAAACATTACAAATGTATAAATGAAGTATGCTAAAGCTGAAGAGACTAAGATTGGGAGTTTTAGGAGCAAATACTTAAGATGGGTCTGGATTTTAGCAAAATATCTTATTTCCGGACTATAGGGCGCACTATACTATAACCCGCCGCAATTACAATTTTTTTTTGAAAAAAAAAAAAAAACGAAAAAATGGAAATGTACACATATAAGCTGCTGGTATTTCCGCCGCTCTCGGTTTTCCATAAGGACGCAGCAGAGTCTCCAAAGCCGAACCATAGTTCGTTCACGTTCCTGTACTGTCAGGTCGATTAGCCCCCACCTTAAAAGCTGCATCATGTGAGTTTGGAGAAATTTCTCAATAGTGCCTGCTGCTAGCATGTGCTTGTTCTAAATGAAAATCAGTGCTTTCTTCCTTGATTTCCAATTTTGACCTCCAATGATTCACTTCCTGCTAAAGAGCCCCCTGGTGGTGGAAGAAAAATCCACAGAAAAGCCACCAGGCTACAAGCCACGTGGTTCAAAGTGTGAGGGAAAAAAAAAGTAGCGGCTTATAGTCCGAAAAACACTTTTAAGTTTGGTAGAGGATCTGGGATGTCATCAAATTTAAATTTTCCTTTTTTTATTTGTTATTGTGCAATAAAAGATTAATTCATTTTAAGGATTTTTAGGCATCTTTACTAGAGCAAACTGCAATATTCTCTTAGATCAATCTACCATATTAATGTAAATATATCTATTTTTATGGTGCTTAATTTTCTATACAGATATTTATTGAGTACATGCAATAAATTCATATTCCAAAGCATAAATGATAAGTTATTTACCTACAACAATGTAGCGATCAACAGCAATGGCTGTGAGTGAAAGCACTGAGGCAAACACCGTGGCACACTGCAGCAAGGGCACCAAGTGGCAGAGAGGTTGTCCAAAAGCCCAGCCATGGCTGTCGAAGGCGTAAGACACAGTCAGAGGGACACAACTTAAACACATCAGCAGGTCGCCAGCCGCTAAATTACCAATGAAGAAGTTGGTGGCGTTGTGGAGTTTCTTGTCTGCCAAAATGCAGGCCAACAAAAATGAGTTTCCAACACCGGCCACAACCACCACAAGGCAGTAGAGAGGCAAAAAAAGAGGTTTGAACCGCTGAAGAAGCTCCATCCCAACAAACATGTCCAGTGGGTTGCTGTGATTGAGTCCTTGGCCTTTGTTGCCTTCTGGTCCTCCTGTATCTTGAGTAGCGTTTCCAGTCAAACCGAAGTCCTTATTCATAAAGACGTCCATGTCCTTGCAGGTAGACCTTAAGAGAAAGGCAAAAATGAATCATTAATTACTCCAATTTGATGAATGTAATTAGTCATTATCGGGGGATTTCAATACCATGTCTGGTCTGACTAATTTAGAGTTATTGTGTCTAAAATAAGACAAAATTAGTCACTATGACTACCTATGATGATTGCATGTTTAACGGACAAGAGTTTTACTTTTATGGTTTAATTCTTGAACAAACATGTATGGCATAGAAAGATTCACGTTACTCTCAAAACAGCCCACAGGGATGGTCTACATCTTCATTTGTGACTGTGCTAGAGGGGTCGATTGTGTTGTAAAACTAGCTTGTTTCCAGAAGATGAGGCACAAGGCAGCTTGAGTTGCATCTTGCTGTGCAAATGGGAAAACGGGCCCCAGGGAAGGAAGTAGCACTACCATAGACTTCCTGCCTGGGACGTCCCATAACATAGTTTGACCCGCAGACAACTGAAGAAACTCTGAACCCATTAAAGTGTGATATTTGCTCTGACTAAATATAAATGATAGTTCACCTATGAAAACTTCATGCTAATTTAGTTTCTTACATCTCAGGTCTTCTGAAACAACTCAGATCACTGGACTTCAACTGCTGGTGATTTTTTTTTTTCCCCCAAATGCAGAAACATTTAAAGACACACTTGAGTCAATAAGAAGTTTTCTGGTAGTATGAGCTGTAGCGGTATGGAGTGGACGCCTCAAATATGGAGACTGTTGACCCATTTCCTGCCTTCACCTTGAATAATTTTGTCCTTAAGTTGCACATCACCTACAAGGAGCCACACAGTCTGAGTCTAGAATACCAGAAGTTTGACCTGTGGGTTACAAGAAACCAGCTGCCCAATGTTAGCTGACATCATTTATGGTCAGAACGACAGCAGAATACGATCCTTCTATAAAAAAGTCAACATTAATGTGTTTGTATAACTATGTTTCATCTTGATAAATAAATTCATACTCAGCCAGACAGCACAAGAGTATATATAAATCCCTGATGCTTCTAAACATGCACACACACACTGACAATAATTATTCACTTGCAGATCTTTTTTTATGTCTAAATGAAACAGAGTTTGAGTGTAAATTCTCCTAGGAAATCTTTTAAAATATTTTTATGACATCTCTGGGGAGCGTTCTAATGTGAAGGATACATTTTTCCACTCCAGTGCGTCGCAGCGCATCGTACGCTGGAACATTTCGCTCACTAGTGGATTTGCTTCGAAGAGCTGCCAAATCCCAATTCTGGCTGCTGCTGCATGCAGCTGTTAGATATACAGTGAAGTGCACATACACTAGCAGAGAAATGTAATGAAAAGTGTGAATTCATCAGGCCGTAAGTGTGGTTTTTGTAAGCACTCATATCAAAGATTAGCTCAGTCCTTTTTAACGTAATCCAGAATAATAAAGAATCCTTATCTGCTGCAATTGTGCCGAGATGAAAACCGTCCCTTTTATATCATCGCATTCAAATTAGAGCTCGGCAACGAGAAGAGACGTGCTTGTAAATCTTAATTTTAACAGCCTGCTTTCAAGAGCATTTGGCAGGAGATTTTGGTATTAATGGAAGCATAATTGTGGTGGTACTCTTTGACAATTTCAAACTAATATTATTGACAACAAACCTTTAAAACTGAACTATATATTTAATAAAATTCAACGAGCTAGCATTGTTTGCGATTACTTTGTATGCTCCTCGTTGTTGTTATTTTTGGCTCCATATTTGATGGCCAAATATTCCTCTATGACCAAGTCCATTCTCGTGAGGCACAGAACTGAGGAGGCTGCTGCCTGTCTTCATGTGGCCTTTATGTTTTGGCCGCAAATAAAAGAACAAACAGCTGCAGTGGCTACAGAGTAAAAAAAGCCATCTGAAACTAAAATGATTTTCAGATGCCTGTGAAGCAGTTTTTTTTTTTTTTGTCATTTTGTCAATTGCTTCCTGTATCCAAAACAAAAGTGTGACCTTTACTCATCCATCAGTGTTTCCAATATGTTAAACTTGTTATTAAAACTAAATTGATCTGTTTTTATGACTTTAAATTTATTTGAAGGCTTAAGGATTGTGAATGTCAGGATATCCTACAGCTCTACGGCTAAACGCATTGTGCGTACCTTGAGTTTTTCATTTGAGTAAAAAAAAAACATATATATATATATATGTGTGTGTTTGTATATATATATATATACACAGTTACTATTAACAAAATTGTGGAAAAAATAAAAAAATTTGTTTTTTGTGTCAAACCCTCCTGTCTGCGTTTATGCAGCATATCTGTGTGTGTCAGGAACTCGCCATCAGCTGCGTCTCTGTGTGCCAAGCGCATTGCGTGCATGTGACCCGTACTTGTGTGGGTTAGGTCTGTGCTGGTTTCGATGTGTGTTGGGCATGTGGTCGTGGTCATGGTCATGCGGGTTCAGTGACGGTTTTGTCTTTTGTGCTCGCCCTCCGATAATCTCCTGCAGGCGCCCCTGGTGAAAGCAATGTGTTTTATTTAACTAATGCCGATTATTCCAAGCAGCACAGACATCCCTCATGACACAGAGCCCTTCACACTAGCTGAGACAAAATTATTAATCTACTGAATACAGATTGGTGCTGTCACTAAACAGATTATCTGTGGTATAAAAAGGTTTGCAGCAGGGAAAGCATGCTTATCTGTGGACAGGATGTTTGTGTAGCTAAAAATGCTGGGTTTTTATTGGTACCTCTTGAGTCTTTTTACGTTTTGTTATATTACAACTGCAAACCTCAGGTTCTGAAGCATTAGGCCCTGTCCATGTGGGATCCCCCAACCCCCCCCTCAAAAACAGGGAAAATGTTTGTGTTAGTGCTGCAGCTGCTGCAGAACCTCATTGATCGACTTCAAGAAATTATCTGTCCACTTTAGTATTTCACTGACAAGAGAAAGCTGAGGAAAACCAACATATTCAGGATGCCTGTGTAGACGAGGGTGAGACCCACAAATGGAGCCTCACGAGCCCCATCACCACAAACACCTAATGGTGACAGTATGGTTCTTAAAGCTGCCAGGAGATGATAGAAAGATGGGTGAAGCTAAATACAGAGTGACGCAAAAGAGGCTGCAAAATATTGGAAACTGGGCCAAACTTTATCTTCCAACTCAACAACAACTCTTGGCGTAATGCCAGAGATATGATGGAATAGATTAGATCAATAATCATCCATAAAGCAGCTGCTTTGCAGAAGAGACTAGAATAAATATGGGTCTCTAGAAGTCCAAAGGTGCAGGGGCTCGACACAAATGCAGATCAGACTTTACAGTTTTATTTGTAGCAGTCTTTTAAATCGTGCATTCTTCCTTCCACTTTGTAATTGTTTATCAATCAATTGAATATGTAGAAGTCACTTAAAATCCCAATAAAATGCACGTGGAATTGTGTCTGTAGCATTACAGGATGTATAAAAACACTATAAGGGTTTTTATACCCTTATAGTTTTTGTGCAGCACACACTTTAACCTACAAATCAGTTGGTTAAAGTAACATTAGAGGCATTTTGTCTTCTTGCCTCTTGTGCATATTATATTACTGGGGTAACATTTGAAAACTTGGTGAAAAGGTCCCCTATTTTTAATTTCTTTTCAAAAGGGATAAGTCTGTTGACTACACAAAACATATTCAATACATGTTTTTTCAAAAAGTTATTGTCAGGTTATGAGATTTCACCTGACCAGTTCAGCCTACTTTGAGCTCCTTTCTGAATGAGCTGTTTTAAGGTTATGTCTCTGTTATGCAAATGAGCTGCAGCTGGCTGTGCCTCCAACTCGGTGTTGGGACTTAATAGATGTGAAAATGGCTGCAAACGGATGTGCAAATGTACAATGACACAGCTTTCGCCCCTTCATTACGGAACGGTCAGAATGACCATGGCTGCGCTTTTATGAGTATGATTTTCTGTTTTCGTGGTTTTGAAAAGAGACATCCCCATTACGTCTCCGTCTTTGGAGAACGACATCTTCTTCGCTCTTCCAGGTCACTGAAGACCTGGAAGAGCAATTAGACCTCTAATCGAAGAGGTCTGTTTAAACAGACCTCTAAACAGTTGGATTTGTGAAAACTATCTTTTTTTGTTTTTCCTGGCAATGTGGCTGAGACGTTGCCATTAAAACTGTTCACTGCAGTCAATAACAAAACACTAGTCTTTTCCAGCAGCCATTGTACAGTGTCTACTTCGGTAAAACCAAACATACTTGTCTTCTAACAATGAAGTGAGCATAGTTCTGTGGGAGCGTTGAGGAACTGGGCTAAGTTGGGGCTGCTAGGTAAAAGGGGAAGTGCCTCACAATTGTGACTTAATAATCCGGAGGTTTTTGAAACAGCTCATGTTCCAAACCCCTAAAAAACATAAACTAATTGGTTCATGTGTTTTGTTTTAGCCTTTGAACTCTTTCTATAAGCTCTAGAGACCCCAAATGGAAATACTACAACGCTATTTTGCATAATGGGTCCACTAAGTCAACTTCTGGTGCTGTGGTTTTGCGGGTTGCATCTCTAAGTATCCATATTACGTAACTACTTCCAGTTTCACAGTTTTCTGGGAAAAATGTGAAGAAAGCCTTCCTGTCTTACACTTGCACCATCCAGTCAAACCGGGACAGTGCTTTTGTGTGAGAGCAACAACAAAGTGTCAGCCTCCCTCTGTGTTTTAAATGAGGGAACATCCAAAGAAACACAACATGTTTTGCTTCATGTTTGTTTTCATCAGTAGCATCCAACAACACTGTATCAAATATTTATTAGCAATAAATTTATCTCTTTATGAGGGGAAATAATCTGACCTTCCCTTGAAAGCGGAAGCCGCTTTCCTGATCTGATTGCTCTGGTAGAGGTGATTGTGTTGTTGATCGCAGTTCTGCTACATATTTTATGGCTTGAGTATTCTTCGGTGTTTCTGTCGTACGTCAGGCTTCACATGATCAAAGCACTACAAGGATAAGTGGATTAAGTGTAGCATGAGTCAACCTCTGTATGTTGGCTTTTCATCCCTGAAGACATTTGTGTTTCTGTTCACTTCAGCTGAAAAGCTCTACGTCATTATTTAAAACAACGCGGACTCTTTCACCTTTAGCTGAAACGAAACGTCTTTCTAAAAATAAATAAGGTAGTTTACGATGTTTTGTTTTTTTTCGGACATTGCAAGTTGTTAGTTGTGTTAAAATGCTTTGAATGTACTTAATAGATGCTATGTTTTATGAAATGCTTTGGGTAACATGAAGCTTATTTTTTTCTGAAGCGTGTGTACTTTACGTCAACAGGTTTGCTTATGTTACAGTTATACATTTGGGCATATTTGCAAGAGATCTACAATTACATGCAAGGCTTTTTGGTGCAACTGATTCTGCAACCATTACTTGTCATTGTGATCCAAGTTTTGCAGCATTACAAATTATTTAATCTCATTCAAGCACATTTGTCTTCTGCCTTGTTGTCTCAGGCTGCAAAAACTTTTCCTTGATTATTGATGATAGGAATTTCTTTTTGCCTTGATTTCTTTAATCACTAACTATTGTCAAAGGTGCAGCTTTGTGCAATTTCATAGCACAATCAAGTAACTCTGTTATCTTCAGTCTGTACATATGAAACATTTCCTAAAAAAACGTTTTGAAACTGGCTTCTGTCTCTTTAAGAAGCTCCTTCTCTTTCAGACACTCCGCCTTCAGTAATATCATCACAACAATGTTTTTCCATTATGTTTTTGATCATCAGCTAGTGAGATATTTTTTTTATTTGACCTTAAAGTTATTTAAAGTGTCTGCTAGATCTTAGGTCGTAGTTTGATATATTTCTCTGTCTTTCTTGCAGATCATCTGAATACGTAAAGAAATATGTTGTGTAACTATTTGTGACAAATTAGATTCTACGAATTGTAAGCAGTGATTTTTTTTAAAGCAATGTTACTAAATTGTGTGAATTAAGAGTTTTCGCAGCAGAAACCAAGCCTTGTGACCATGGTGATAACAGTGGTGGCCAAATTTTTCTCTAAACTCCTAACTTCTGATGACGATCGGTCTTTCAGTGACAAAGTCGGCTGCACAGACAAGTATTTATAGCTCTTTGCTGCAAATGAAAATGACTCGGATGAGTGATCAATTCTTAAACAGATGGACCCACTCGAATGACTTAATACGTGCTCTGCAGCGTCACCGCAATCAGCGGAGGGGGAGTTAAACGATTCTTCACAATCAATCCAAAACTTGTTGGTAACCATTACTTTCTCAGAATCGCTCCGCCCGAGAGCTGGCCGGGCCTTGGTGTCAAACCAAAGTGTGTCTTTAATTGCTAATTTGTTATCCACGTGTCGGTAATCGGCAGCAGGAGCATGTGCTCCGATCCCATCTGGTCTCCCAACATCTACCTTGTCAGACAGCTTAGAAGGAACCCACCCTCGCCTAGTAACGCTGTTGCCATGGCCTTTGTGGAAATCATCCAGACCCCACAGCTAATTTGCAAGGCGTGATGTGAATTGAGCGCTCTCAAAATGCAAAACAGGAAGGACATCTACTGTTGATGCTCTCTCATCCTGCTTAGCTTGCTCTCTTATATCCCCATAGTGTTTTTTTTTTATTTCCACATTCACTTTTATCACTGTGTGACTCCACTGACATTTCCCTCTTTTGAGCACTTTGTTTGAATTTTAAGCATCCGTCATACCGAGCGTGCCGAGGCATCCAGATGGAGCTGGAGGCAGAAGTTGGGTAAAAGTGAAACAGGAATTAGGGGAAAGATGAATCTATGCATTTCTAAAGCGGTGACTTAATACTTTCACTTACTGTCTAAATCGGGGATGTCAGATAAACGATGCATAATTTCCACTTAAACTTTAGCAAATTTGAACTGGACACAGTTTTCATATCAGAGTCAGCAAATGACTGAAATTTTATTCTGTAGCTCCTCGCGTTTCTTCAGGTCTGGGAGACTAATGACCAGTTGTTGGCTAAATGTTATTTTCACCCGCTGACCATTTCATTACCGGAGGTCGAAGCTGCCCTGGAGGCATTGGCTTACTTAAAAAAAAAGGTTAGGTTAATTTAAGAAGTTACAGTCAATATTTTCTTTTTCTTTTTTTGCCACTGAGAAGAAGTTGTAGCAGCAGCACTGAAGCCAATAAACAAAAGCAGCACAAACAAAAAGCTTTAATATATTCTTAGTTTTGCAGATGTCTTGAGTGAAAATTTGATTGCTTCAGATGATCTTGTTTTTGTTTCAGATTTACTGAGAGTAGTTGCTCCGAGTGTACAAATGTTTAGGTTTCATTTCATTCAGTAAGTAACAAAATCAAGCAAAAAAAAAAAACAAAGAACTGAGCTCTTATAATTTCTTTCCTTTTCTCCATAGTGTAATCCCTTGTGATTGCAACAATAAATGTATTACATTAAATGAATTCAAAACGGATATACTTGAAAGTTGTTGACTTCTTTCACACATATTTTACATGTTTTATGAAACATTCCTACAACATAACTTTTTATATATTTTTTTGCATTTAAATTAGGCATTTCATTATATTTTAAAAGGATCTCCAAATAGAAAAAAACAAAGAACAAAACAAAACATGTATCTGTTCAAGAAAACTGCATGGAAAGCCACCAAAGCTAAATCTGCAGGCAGGAATGCATTTGTTTTCTCTAGCGCTCCTCTGAAATGTCACACACAATCCTGCAGAGCCAGAACACATTTAAAGATGACAAATGCTGCTAATCATCATTCGCCTTAAATTGGTTCAAATTACAGAGTGTTTTTATGGTGGTAATTAAATCATCTAATAGCTTAATTTTGATAATTCATTTTTTCCTTCTACTTTGAATGAATGAGAACATTTTCTAACAATCAGTTGCCTCACAGAGAGAAAGTAATTATTAGATGGAATTTCAAACCTATGTATTTTAGCTAAATTCCAAAACAAAAGATTATTTTTTAATTGATTGTTTTTTTTTATGCATTAAAAAACCTCCCAGTGTTTCAGTATGTCATCAAAAATAAAGATCTTACCTTTACAAATCAGACAGATTTCCTCTTGTGCCTCTTCACTTTTTTTTTTGCGAAAACAAAAACGCTGACTTTCTTTTCTTTTTATCCCTGTTGTGAAAAATCTAAAATATTATTACTGAACGCTCTCTCTTCCCGCAGCCTAAAAAAAAAAAGCCCGTGTTGTGTGGCGAGTCGGGGAAGAAGATGGTGTTTCTCACTTAGCGCTCAATGAGAGTGACAGGGGAGGAAAAAGGGGGGGAGAGAGAAGAACCCACCTCTCTCCCTTCAAATCCTCACCAAATGTGTGCCCTCCCACATTTGCTCCTTTATCACGTCTGCATTTTTACACATTCACACTTCACATATACACACACAAAAGCGACAACAGCCGGCTATTATTTGACCTCGGCTGGCAGAACGCCTGTTTTGTGCAGCTGTATTGAAAGCCTTGATCGCCTTGCTGACATATCAACTACCTGTGGAGGAGAAAGAGGGGGGAATTATGTTCTCAGAAAGAACCTGATCTCTGCTGACCGTTGCTAAGAAAGCAGAACTATTGTAGAAGAACGCAGCTTAGAGACTGTGATGAGTAACTTAAACATCAAATGTTGCCACATTTTTGTCAGCTCAACCCTTTACTTGATGATTTTAACACTCACAAATGGTTTGTCTTATTTTAGGAAACATTTGTAAAGCCATGATGTCAGCATTAGACTAATTTCTGTAATTTCTGTTTGATACCCACTCATAGATATCCTGTTGACTGCAATGAAACCATCACTAAATAACGTTTGGACTGGCTTTTTTTCTCTCTCTCTCTCTTGCTGCCATTTCCATCATTCCCCTCTAAACCGATGCTTAGTGTTTGAAGAGATTTTGATACTTTTTGCAGATATTTGCTCCTCAGCTTTTTTTTTTTTCCCTGACCGTTTTTCACTACTGCAATTTCGGGGGACCAATCCAGTACAAGATGGAGCACTCAATAGAACAACCTATCCTGGCAAGAAAAAGGGGGGGGGGGGAAAAAAAAAAAACAAAAAAAAACATGAGATCCACAAGCAGAGGAGCAGAATAAAAAATAAAGAGATATATGGGTTGGTGAATTTCAAAAGGAAGTCTTTGCATCTGAAAGAAACTGAAGGTTTGAGTTGTTTGTATCAGTAGAGACGACAGAAAGCGAAGGGAACTTTCTTCAGCCGTAGTTTTCACATGTGAACAATAAAGATAAACACATATAATCAGAGGAGCATAAACACAGGGTTTAGCTGTGTGAAAAGTAAATGTTGAACGTTTTACTCTCGAATCAAGTGCAATTTTTCCTTTGCACACCGCTGAAATTAGATGTCAGATAAGTCCTCCTGTGCTTTGTTTTAGGAGGTAAATTGACTAAAGATTTTATTCGCTTTTGTCCTTTGCAGATATAAAAGAAAAGCTTTTAGCAGTTTGGTCTCAGATGTATGGGCTGGCATTTATTTAACCTTGTTATCGAAATGTTTTAGCTGTCTGTGCAGCTGATTGTCAACATAATCGCGGTAAGAGTTTCATAAAAGCGCATTGGGTGTTATGACTTGTGTATAAATATTGCTTACAGTCCTGAATAGAAATCAATAAGGCAAATCTAAATTCTTGCAAGTGAAGAACACGAAGATCAGCAGACGTGGAAAGAAACCTCAGCGAAGTGGGAATTCAAGAAACCAAGAATTTTATCTTTAGTCACACTAAGATGTGTATTTTTAAAGGTGAACCAGCAAAAATAAATTTTGTTTTTGCACAGGAATAGGCGGCATCTTTGTTTTAATACCATGTATAATTTAGATTTGATTGATTTAAGTTGTATAATTTCTTTTGGACTCTGTGTCCATGAAAAGTGCTTGGATAAATTTCACTTGCTAAATGTAGCTAAAGCAACCAAAAGTCTTTATTGGAACCATTTACTGAAATATCCATTTTTTTTGCAACCACATTATTTAAAATAAAGGAAAATAATAATGATAAAAAAACCTGTCAAACTACTTTTGTGGATAAAATCGATTTCCTGACTGAAGTTCGTTTCCATTCCAATATTTCAAAATGTGATCATTCTGTTCAATAAACAGACATGGTCATATTCAGACTTGAACACATTATTGAATATTTTTAAGAATTACGAATGTGTACAAATTATGGATTGTTGCAAAGCAAATTAAGAAAAATAAGTAGAGCTGCGGTCAGGATAAAAGAATCATGTGTACAACTACAGTCACTGACCAGGCTCAAGTTAATTTAGACTTAAATAAATGTTTAAATCACTAAGGAAACCAGTCAGCAATGATAAACACAAAATAAAGAGCTTCTAAACGGATCAGTGATTTTCATTACTGTTTAATGAGCTGTGGGTCGGGTCAGGTTTTTCTCTTTTTGCATTCTCCTGTGTGGGGTTACTTACTCTATACTTTCATTGTGCAGTCCAAATATGTCAGTTTAATTGAAGGTGTGATTGTGAACAATTAGTTTGATTGGATACTTTTAACAAGATAGGGCAGACTTAACTATTGGCCATATGAACTGTGGTGTAAAATGTCATCGTGAAAATATCTTAGTACTATGAGGAAGGTCGCCTATTGTCTGCATCTCTCACTTTCTTTGTTTTTACACAAATTCACAACCACCTCTTTTTTATTAGCAGCATTTCGTTGTTCCATTTGGAACTGTCCTGCAACCCTGGATAACAGTGAGTGGGTGAAATCCATGAAAAGATGGATGGAGGAAAAGGTCTGATCTCTTGCAGATGTAGAGCCAGGTACCGAGTTCCTTTGTAAGTGTAAAAAAAAAAAAAAAAAAAACCCGCCAGGAATGCTATTCTTCTCTGACATTTTGATTATTTTTGTTACCACTGAGAGTTAACCCCAGATCAGTCCATTAGCAGGGCCATCAGCGAGACATGCTAGTCAAAACACACACACACACACACACACACACACACACACACACACACACACACACGCAGACATTTTGAAACCACCAGCCAACTTGATATTGTCGCAGGACCTTAAAATACCTGGAGAAAGTAATCAACACAAAAAATGCTATTGCAGTGAGGTAACGGTACTATTTAACGTGGCCATAATGTGGACTATTTCATTCAGCATTTTGACAGCTACATATTGGATAGCTGTAACTAAACGTCGTCCGTGTCGAAGTCGTCTAAACATTAAACAAGTGTGTTCACGGTAGGGAATGTAGATTTCGGTCTTACCTCTTAGATTTTCAAGATGCCGCTAACATTTTCAAATCCGTCACGTACGTGAAGGATGTGGCTGTTCTCGATCAACCTTCACGTTTTCTGCAAAAGTCCTGCTCTGCTTTGTAGTTCGAGAAAATGTCTGATCTGAATTCATGTTAAACATCCCACTGATACTGAAAATAGCCAACTTTCAGTCATCTTCTTTCAGTAGCAGCCTCAGTCCCAAGTGGTGATGTTATATTGTCACTTTTAGTACTTCAGCTGGATTTCTTCACTGATTGAAAAGAAAAAAGAAAGGAAAAAAAAATTGAGTTTCCAACCACTTGATCGCTGCATTGGGACCTTTAAGCTGAAACTCATCCAAATCCAGTTACCAGACTATTTTTTTTTCTTTTTGTGCATCTCTACCCTTAGGTAATTTGAAAATTATTTTAGCTGGTTAGATACTATCACCACGATAAAATAAAGTGCAAGTAAATTTACTCGACACGATTAGTTGCACCCGAAACAATAAATCAAAACAGACAAAATAGCAATTAAGCAGCAATGTGTTTTTTGTTGCTTCTCTGTAAATATACTTCCAGTTTGACAATAGACAGTATGCTGTTGTTGGCAGCTTCGCACATGTCAGACGTACAAAACTAAGCAATGTGTGAGCAACATCCTGCTGGTCCCATCCTTGCAACTGAATTCTCTCTGCACTACAGGGTTTCTGAATGTCTGCAGCGACAGGTGATCTAAAAATATCTTTCATTTAGAAGGGCCAATGTGCGCAAAATAATCCGCCGTGCGTCGCCCTGCTGCTTGCACGTTTCCCCCTGCCCAGCTCAATCTGACAACAATGCAACAATATCAACTTTTTAATAACGACATTTGAAAACAGGACTAACGGCAAACAAGATCACATTGATTTAGAAATGATCAAACAGGAGGGGGGCACCTTGTTGTGTCCAGTTATTTGCTTCTCAGCAAACTCACAAAATTTGATTATGTCGAGAAAATGAAAGCAGAAGAAATTTATTAGGGGCAAATAGTCTCACGCGCCACTCAGTACATGCATTTATGCTTCTGTTGTCAAAAACAATTCACCGCATTTTGGTGGGCAGGCACGTGCAGGGGGGCGGGTGGGGGAGGCTGGGGGTGCTTGAGCACCTGCCCCTTTAGTGGTCTCTGCACGGCCCTGTTGGTGGGCATAGTTACCATTAAATTCATAGCCAACATGAAGAAAAGAAAGTAAAAAAAAAAAAACAAACACACAAATTAAGTCACAAAAATTAAATCCGTAGCCAGAGAACGACATTAATCCATTCATCTTTAAGTTAAAACTCAAAAAGATTATTTGCTTTAAATGTCATTCGGTTAAAAAAATCAATTTTGTTTTTTATTTTTTTTATTTTTTATTTTTCGGCCCAATGATCTTTTTGAAAATCCTCCTAAAATTAAATTTTCTCCAACCTGACCCTCGGTGGGTGTTTTAACCTCTGTCAAAAGAGCAGCGAAATGGATTGTGGAAAATGAAAATGTACGGCCTCTCCACTGTGAAATAATAAGAGTCATACATCACACAGCGGCCAAATGGTTTCACTTTACAGGGGAGTAAACCTCTTTCCTTCCTAAGCGATTCCAGACTCCCATGTCACATTTCTTTAACTCTCTCATCTTAGACTCGGCTGAAATGTGGGGTTTATGTGAGGTCTTGATAACTGTTGTATGTTTTTGTTTCTTGATTACATGCAATAAATAACAAAATTAGGTATAAATAGTGGGAAATGTGCATACATAAATGTACACTGCAAACGTGTATGCATACTTTTCACACACTCAAAACAGGCTTGTTTATTTGTCTGTGTATTCATTTCTATTTTTTCTTTGTGGTAAATTTTAATAAACCAAAAAAGGATGTTGGGTTTTTTGACAACATGAATATTGCTTCATTAAACAGCAGTACAAAATCATTACTGATAATGATTTATTTTGGTTTTCAAAAGTTTTTGGAATTTGCAAAAAAAATCATATTTGAAGTCCTGCTTG